CCAGAACCAACCCCCGAGTCTGACTCATGGTAGGCCTGCACATGTCAGAGGAGTACTGTGCTACACGGGAGTTCAAGGCTGCGGCCTTTTAAAACAGTCACCAGGCCTTGCTTTAGAAGGGCCTCTGGGTGAGTCTGAAGCACCTATCTTTCAGTTTGTACAACATGGCTTCAAAAGTTTTGGGGAAATTCCATAATTCCATTTATCTGTGAATTTGTTCAGTCTTCTCTTAGTTGACTGCTAAATAGATGTCACGGTCCAGAGACTCTATACATAATCAGTGAGATGTATCAGTCCTGTCTCTGGGTCAGCATCTCTGTTGGCTATTGCGTCAACCCTAGGGGATTACCAGGGCACCAGTTTTACATGCAGGACCCTACATAGAGAACAAGAGAAATCTCCCTGAGGGGATGCCTTGTAGTTAATCTATTCAAGATGCAAAATTAGAAATTTAAGATCAGTCTGCTCAATTTCACCCTCTATAGAATAAGAATAATCTTTACCTTAAATCCTTCTGAGCTTAAATTGGATTATGTGGGCCTCATCAGCCCCAAAGGCCTTACCTATATCTTGCGTCTGTGTGTGCAAACACACACACAACCATCGGCTTGTATTAGGCTGACTGGGAAATGTAGATGAGGAGAAGCATCAGAGACGGACTCCTCCCTGGGTGGGAACAAGGTAGAGAAGAGTCAAAGGGTCTCTCTTCCCAGGATATCAGTTCTGTGCCCTTTCACTAGCTGAACTATCTCTGCACACACTTCTGGCATCTAGCGTTGTGCCTTTAAGATTTCAGAGCAGGTTTTTTGTGGTTGTTTTTTTTAACACTGCTGATGAAGGATGATGAAAGGGGAAGTGGGGGGGCTCGGTTTCACTTTCCTTTGAGATGATGATGGGAGAGAGGAAAAGGGGGGCATTGCTCAAGGGCGACAGAGCAGAGCAGAGGAGTTCTTTGCTCTGCCTTGAGACAGATGCAGTCCTCAAACGTAAGCCATGACATGCTTCCTGTCAGCCTTTGAAGATACTGGGCAGAGATCACAATGGATATTGGTAGGATTTGGCCATAACAATAATCTGAGAAGTTTAACCCAAGAGATATTTTGGGAAAACCTTGTGAAGTTCATACAGTATCACCCATATAAAAAACTACTTCTCAGATCCTACAGTCCAAGGGCAAGTGAGGAAGCTCACGAACATGGACGCAGTAATACACTTCTGACGTTTCCTCACTGTGGCACCAAACACACATTTCCAACAAAACAAAAACGACCACGAAAAAGCAAATTGTTTTTCCTCTCTAAGGACACGTCTGTGAGAACTCTAATGACAGTAAATATGTGTTAGTTTTTCTTCCACCAGGATACTGGGGAAATGCGTTGGATATTTTACTTATACCCCACCCCCCATCCCAAATACATATCACCTAAATAGCATCAATCACTCAGAATATGCAATTATATATTTATGAAGGCAGATCCACTCTGCTTGACTTGAATACATGTGGCTCATTAGAAAAATGGCAAGATGATGTGGTTTTGTTGTTATTGTTTTAGCCTTTGGCTATTAATATGGATTCTAAAAAGAAACTCTAAAGTATCAAAAGTTAGTGAGCACTGAATAATTGTGTTTTGAAGTTTTCTGATCTTCATTTATTCCTAATTTCACATGCTCTAATAGTTTATTTTTCCCAATCTTCCACTCATATGTGGATTAATAAAAGCTATGCTTCTTTTTGTAAATACAGATTTATTAATTTAGTCTAGAATGATTAGGATCTGCGAGATACCTAGCATTCTACTACGTTTTGAGGATACAATGATGAGAACCTTGCAAGCAGCTAGTGAATGTTAAATAAATGAAAATTGTATGTACATGCTAAAGTTGAGTATAACATACTATTGTTTTATGATTATGTGGGGCATGGGGAGTAGTGGGTTTGAGCCCTGGTGGCATAGGTACTAATTGCAAGTTCAGCAGTTTGAATCTACCAGCAGAAACATAAGGCGCCTGTGAAGATTTAAAGTCTTGGTAACCCAAATGAGGCATTGTTATTCTGTTTTAAAGGGGCATTATGAGGTAGAATCGACTTAATGGCATGGAGTTGGTTCTCTGTTTAGTTTTGGTTTTGAATGAGATACTATGGGGCCAAATATACCAATAATTGTGAGAATTACTTGTGGCTCGAGAACATTTTGCTGTGTTTCATAAAATTAAATGTATTTTTTGCTCAGTTAGACATACAGTTTTGCTCTATAATTTTTGATTAAATGATATGAATTGGAACCAACTTGATGAGAACTAATAGCAGAAATGACACTCAGACAATCAATCAGGAATGCTTTCAAGAATTAAGCATACTCAACATAGAAGATTTTTGCTGTTAGTTTGACAAAACTAGTGCTTTCAAAATATTAATAACTGAAAAGGTTCAAAAATATAAAGCACAGTTAAATTTTTTGATGAATTACATCTAGTTGGAACATACTGGCAGAGACATTAATCATGCTACTGAGAAGAGTGTGTATTAAGCTAGAGAGAGAAGAAGAAAATTTACAATTCAGGCACAGTGAGGAGTTGATAAGAACTGTTTTTGCAATTCTTGAAAACTTGAAAACTCTGCTATTCATAGTTCCTCCTACTAAACATATCTTTTTTAAATATAAAAAGATGAGAGAGAAAAGGAGAGAATATTGAAACAAATAATTTCCCTTTTGAAGGTATAAGTCTCAAAGGCAACCTACACAAGACAGATCCTCTTTATATAAAAAAGGAAGAGGTTTCCCAACACAAAACCTTGGCGTAAAATTTATTTAACAGTTCTGAAGGAACTTTTAGTGTCACATAATTCAAGCCCTTATTTTATAGTCCACACAGAGCTCACATAAGGGC